CCCACCCCGAGCATGCACACCTCCCCCTGTGCCAAGATCCAAGCCAGACCCCTCTGGGCATCCAGGAAGCCCTGTTCTCCAAGGTGACTTACGCGGCGCAAAACACCTCCGCAGCCACTGCCCACCTGGTCCCTAGACCCCTGGGGGATTCTACCCAGGTTTCCAGTCCCAGCGGGGGTCTCTGCTTCCTGAGGGTCCAAGCATGCTGGCTCCTAGCTCCTGCAGCCCTGAGGGCCTGTGCCACCCTGGTCTGCCCCAGCCCAGGAACTCCCTGAGGACGGGACTGAGCCTCTCCCTCTCAGCTTGGCCCAGAGCTGTATACCCAGGAGGATCTCCAAGCCTTCCTGAGCTCCCCAGCTTGGAGGCCCCTCCTAAAGAGCTCCAGGCAGTGGAGGTTTGTCAGGGACCCTGGTCAGCCTCTTCTGTGGCAAGAGCTCCCTGGGACCTGGGCCCCAGCATGGGGTATGGCTCAAGGCTCTTGATGTGGGAGGGGTGCAGGAAGGGTTGAAGGGGAGGAGAAAAGGGCCAGGCCCAGGAGTCCTCCCAGAGACAACGAAATCCCCCTCAAAGATTCTGTCCTCTTGCCCTGGCCAGTGTGACTTGGTTGGAGCTTTGTTTTGTACAGCAAAAGGTGGAGGGTTCATTTCCAGGTCAGGGCACATACCCAGGTTGCAGATGCGATCCCCAGTTGGGGCGCATGCAAGAGGCAACTGGTCCATGTTTCTCTCCCTTCCTCTCTCAAATCAATAAAAACATATTAAAATGTTATTAAAAAATAAAAATCAACTAAAAATATATTTTTAAAAGATTCTGTCTTCTCTCTGCCCAGGGGCCCTCATCAGCGAGACTGGGGTTTGGCAGCAGGGTCATGACCTAAACCTGGCTCACGCTTACCTTGCTCAGCAGGGGCCTGTCACGCTGTGTCCGACACACCACAGCACAGATCCGCATAGCCAGCTCAGGCCCTGGTGGGGGGTTTCCTGGGGGAAGACCTTGAGGCCTGAGCCCAGCACAGGGCAGCCAGGAGGCAGAGTCAAGCTCCCACCCCTGGCCGGCTCAGGTGGCTCTCACCTGGGAAGGGCAGCCGGGCAGGTAGGCACACCGCCTCCACGAGGACACTCTCCTCCTCCTCTAGTTTCTCCAGCAATGCCACCACTGTGTCTGCCACTGGGCCCACCTCTGCTCGTGGGTGCAGACGCAGTGCCTGCCGCCCCCGCCAGCGCCAGCTGCTGAGCTTGATGGCCACCTGCAACAACAGGCAGGGGAAGGGGCTTCCTCACCACCCCAGGTACCTGTGGGATGAGATGTCATACCATAGGAGCCAATGAGTAAACTGAGGTAAGAAGGCAGGGGATTGCCATAGAGAGATGAGGCAGCAGCAGGGCACAAAGTTGGGGGTAATTCTCAGCAGGACTTGGTAAACCATCCATGGGTGCCATCCTGCTGGCATCTGCCCAGACCTCTGGGGCAGGAGCCTGTTACCTGCAGGGCATCACCCAGGGCCTGAGAGCGCAGAAAGGCCCCTACTTCCTCCTTCACCAGAGCCTCCTGGCCCTCTTTGCCACTCAGCTCCACCAGCCGGAGTCCCGGGCTGACATCCCCTCCCCGAAGCAGTGTGGACGGCTTGTAGGTGAAAGCCAGGGTAGCTGGCACAGCCACACCACTCTGCTGGGCCAGCAAATGCCTTGTCAGCAGCCGGTCCTCCAGCAGCCGGGCCAGCTCCTCTGAGGCTCCTGTAGGGCAGGTGAGGTCGCGAGCGAGCTCAGCTGCTTCCCTACCCTGGCCAGGCCCGGGTCCCAGGCCCACCAGGAAGTAGGTGGCTTGGCGCTGGGGGACAAAGTCATCCAGGAATGTCAGGCCCCCAGAGTAGAAGCTCACTGCCTTGGAGACTAGCAGGGCCCCCTCTCCTGGCCGATCTGGTGCTGGGACCTTCGTCAGCCAAGCAGGGGACAGGCAAAGAAGCATGTTTCCTGTGGGCAGACGGGGGAGTTGTTGGCCAGGGAAGACTTCATGCCCCCATGCCCTCCTTTTCCAGCCCGGGCCCCTGGGCAGTGGGGGCAGCTGCTCCCAGAAACCACCCCGACTTTGAGCATGGCAGCTGGTCCCCTGGAATGCAGGCAGTTGCCAGGGTCGCAGGGTATTTTGGGATGTGGCTGGGCCAAGGCATGGCTGCCCTTTCTGTAGGAGGGGGGTGGGGGAACTTGGGCACACACTCACCCGGACTCTGGACCCCCCCCTCCAGCAGCACAGACAGAAAGGTGCTGGGGGATCCCAGAATGCACAAGGTCACCTCTGCCCCAGGGCAGCCTCGAGGGGAGAAAACGTGGCCAAGGTCACCAGAGGTTCCCCTGGACTCTCTGCCCACCTCTCTTGACCCCCAGGGCCCTTCTGGGTATAGATGAGGAGAGTCAAGGGGACAGAGGGGAAGCTAGAGGGGGAAGAGGAAGCTGCTGACCGTCCCCACCCTGTGAAGCTGTCCCCCCTCTCTCTGCAGCTGGTTTCAAGGCACTGGAGGCTGGGCGACTGGGGTTCTAGCCTGAGCTCTGCCACTGACTTTCTGGCGCCTTGGCCCCTGTGCAGTGGGAGGAGGAGCCTCTGCACCTGTTTCCCAGTCTGTACAACCCAGCCGGGCTGTGATTCCTTGTGTATTCTAGATCTTTGGTGGCCACCCGATACGTAAAATAGGTAAAGCAGGAGAGGAGTCTTGGGTCCCAGCTGCTATAGAATCTGTGCTCCACAGAACATGGGTTGCGAATTCAGGGCTGGATTTTCTGGGGGTGGAGGGAAGCCTGGGTCTCTGAACTGACTGGTGCCAGAGGACCATGGAAACAATGCCTGACTGAAGCTGACTTGCTCACCAGGCTTCAGACCCAGCCAGAGCCTGGGAGAAGGGGCACCTCCCTCATCCCAGGGGTTCCCCCTCTGTGGAGCCCTTGGGCACCTGTGCGGGGCACCTGACTGCGGTCCTGGGTCTCCGGAAGGCCAGCTTGCTGCAGACAGCTCTGCAGGAGGCTGTAGTAGTAGGCAGTCCAGGCCCGGGCCTCTGCCCCTTCGGGGGAGCCCTTGCAGTCCAGGCCCACGTCGAGGCGCCAGGAGCCAGGGAAGGAGTCTGGGGGCAGCAGGCCAGAGCCTCCTCCCCATGGGCCCTCCTCTTCCTCCAGGTCCTTGGAGCCCAGGGGGCCGTCCCACTTGGGACCCAGCAGATCCAAGGAGAGCTGGGGGTGGGGTGGGGTGGGGCAGAAGTGGCGAGTGTTGGGCAGAGTGAGCAAGGGGCACATTCAGTCACCCGAGAGTATAAGCCCCACTCTCCTAACCCTGCGGGGCAGACCCTGTCCCAAGAACCACGTGAGGATGAGGGCAGACTGGGGAATGAAGGCATGAAGGCGGGGAACTTGTAGGCGGGAGTGCTTTGTGGACTGTATGTGCCCTGCCTGGCCGGAGGGTGCAGGCTGGGCCGCTGCGCCCCCTCCGTGCCAGGGTCTGCCCTGGCCTGGTTCACAGGGGCAGAGATTTTTGTCTGTTTTGTTCTTCAAGGCAGCCCTGGCACCTAAAACAGCGCCTGGCACACGGTAGCTGCTCAGTAATTATTTGTTGGCAGAATCAATGAACGGGATAGCCTAGGAATCACTCCCGGGCTGCTGCTTTTTTCTCTCCGGCCTCAGTGACCCATCTGCCATCACGGAGTTCTGCTGAGACCTGAATCTGCAGCTGAACCTGTTCCTTGTCATCCCCAGGCCGGCCTTGAAGACCTACTGTGCTCCAGCCCTGTGCTAGGCATGGGTAGGGGAGAGGCTGGTGCCCTTCCTTTCAGATGTTCTGCCTCCTGGAAATGCTTTCTTTGGATGGAATCTCACATCCCGACCCTCTGAATCTGGCCGACTCCCACATGGGGTTGTTCAGCGGCTTAGTGTGAACACAAGTGGGACTCTCCTCCAGGGAACCAGCTGGGCCGCCTTGGACAAGTCATGAGGTTTCTTTGAGTTTTGTGGGTGCTGGGTGCCTGCCCTGTCCCACCCTTGGGTGCTGATGAACCTTGGACCAAAAGCATCACCTCGGTCACTGGGGGACAGAGTGCTGCATGAGGCCAGGAGGGCAGAGGTCTGGGCCTCAGCCCTGGGCTTGAGTCCCGGCTCACCAGTGCCAAACTCGGAGCCTTGTCCCCTTCCTTAGAAGGCGAACTCCCTGAGAGCCCAGACTGGGTTCACTGCCACATCCCCAAACCTAGAATGCTGCCAGGTACATAGTAGGTGCTCAATAAATGTTGCAGCATGAATGAATGCCAAAGGAGACCAACAGTGCCCACCTCCCAGGGCCCATGGGGAGAGACAGAGTGCCTGAGGCTCAGTCGGGTCACACAGAGTGGGGAGCCGGGGTGGGGCATGAGCTTCTGGGTGCCAGAGGCTGCCCTCTGGGCTCTCTCTCTGGTGGGAGACTTGAGCGTTTGGGGGGAGGGACCAGAGGACACTCACCATCTCACAGGTGGAGAGAGGCTGAGAGGCTGATGGCAGAAACCAGGGGGAGAGAAAAGAGGGAGTCAGGGTAGCGGGGTGTCTCCCCCACGGCCCAGTCCCTGAGACTGTGGGGACGGATGGGTGGACGCTGAGTGCTTCCCTCTGTCCTGCCAGGAGGTGCCCAAGGCTGCCCCACCCCCACCCCAGGAGGCCGAAGGATTTTTGCCGCCCTGACCCAGGGGCCCCGCCGCCGAGCTCCCCCCTCGCCCAGGGAGGCGCTCGGCCCGTCCGGCGGGGGCGCGCGGCTCCCCGC